AAGAGGCATTTTGTTTCGTCGAGAAAAGCTTTGCAAGACGCAGTTCTGTTATTTTCATTTGCTCTTGAGCAGCAATCTCAAACTCAACTATGGGTCTATTTGAATACCGTTTCTGCAACAGGCAAAAGTGCTCATAACTCAGATGAAGACAACATATTTGACTAGTTGAAGGGGGTTTTGTGGGGTTTTAGAACAAATCAACAACAAAACCAGTCAGTTGATTTCTAAGCAATGGCTCACAAATAAATCATAAGCAGAAGTAACCAACATAGCAATTCAATACAATGCAGCTTCTCATCAATGAGTTAGGTTTCAATAAAGTATAGAAGCTTTCGATAAGGACGATAAAGGTTTCTGTCTTACCGAAATCTGCACTCAACTTTGAAGAAAAAATATGCCAATGATAGAAAAAAAACCAAAAAATATGGTAATCCTCTATCTGAACATCTTCACATAATGGTTTGCGTGATCACTATATAGAAAGATATTTTAGAAAAGATCAGGATCTACCTTTAATTCTGCAAGTATTTCGTCGGTGCTCCTTCCAGATGCACAAATAAGAAATATAAATCCAAACTTTTTCTGGTACTGAATATTCCATTCAGCTAGCTCCTGCAAAGGCCATCAACACCTTGGAAGTCATTAACAGTAAATCACCACCCACAAACCCGTCCCCCTTCGCTCCTCCCCAGACCCCACCCCCAAAAGAACCTTTGTGCTCGTTAAAATCGATTTTGAATGATATTAGGAAATTTAATACTATTAAAACAAACCCCAGATACTAACCTGTAAGCTAGAACCAGTAGCAGTTGCCAGTGCAGTTGACTGCTCTCCCTTACTCCATCTATGAAAAAATTCATTTAAAATTTCAATCCAATCGTACAAGTTGCAAGAACATACAAAGTTAGACGAGCAATGCTATCGAAATTGACAAGTACAAATCGACAAGTAATGAAACCTATAACGAAGAGGAAGCGTGAAAGTCTATCAGTCTCTTTTTATAGCTAACTTTCAGTCATCTATATCTTTACAGATAAATATAATCCCGTTTTTTCCTCTGACGAGTCGTTCACAATTCACACATAACAAAAGAAAATGAAATTGGTCTTCCTAAACAACCCAAGAACTGAAAAATCGGTGAAGATCATCGCAGTCACTACTATTTAGTACTACAGTTAGAACAATGAAAAGATTAAAAGTGAAAAAATAAAATAAATCAAAATTAACGCGTAGGACTTCTAAGTGAATGTGGTGTAGATAACAATGGAACACAATGTAGAGTCGGACAGTTCAAATATCATCTGGAAATACATTGATAACAACTACTCCAACTAGCTGATTCAAGAAGGCGCAAGCTAATTGCCAACAGTCATGATTAGAACATCTTCATAAACACAAAACTAGAAGCCAACAAATAGGAGAAAATCATAAAATTAACACCAAGTTCTGTTCGGATACCTTAAAATCAAGTTTTACATTCCAGAATTCAATTGCATCCACTGTAAAGCGATTGATAGAATATAATTTATTCCTAGTTCTGTTCAAATAACTACATGCGACCAGAACTTAAAAAGTGATTGAATCAATTCAAATTTGACGAAAAAAAAGAAGTAAGAATCTATCATCGATAGGATCTTAACTGAGCACTCGTCTGATTGGATGATTTGGAGGCTTGACCAATCTGTGGATGAGCAGAGAATGCTTCCAGCCAACCATTCACATCGACCTTTCAAAAACGAACATCAAATTTCAGCCTCTGGTAACTGAAAATCAATGATACAAAGAAATTAAAGAAGGTAAAAGAAACGAAAACCTGATTAAACCAGATGCGTCTAGCTGCATCTACAGCTTGTTCCAAGGAGAAAAAAGGGGAAACGGAAACCATTAAACCAGATGCGTCTAGCTGCATCTACAGCTTGTTCCAAGGAGAAAAAAGGGGAAACGGAAACCATTTCTCTGGCGAATTTGGAGCTTCCACAGCATGCCTGAAACTCTTCCTCTCCAAAATCATAACTCGCCGCCATCGTTACTGCCACCGATCGGTGATCCCCAGTCACTTTCTTCTCTTTCTCGCTCTTCCCTCTCTGCAGTCGGGTCACTACGCCTCGCTCTGCTGCTGCGCTGGCGATCGGGTGTTTCTATGGGTTGAGTTGGTTGGTTTTGTCCATTTTGGATAAAAAAAAAAACTCAAAATGTTAAATTATTAAAAATAAGTTATTTTTAAACTTAAAAAAAAAAAAAAATATAAAATGTTCCAATTAATTTTAAAAAATAAATAATATATCCATATTATTTTAAAATTTAAAATTTTATTTTTATATTAGATAAAACGTCTAACTATAGTTTTAAATGTTAGAGGCTTTATCCAATTATAATAACGAAATTCAAACATTATTAGTTATTTGACAAAAAAAATCAAATATAAATTTTTTATTATAATTTCATGTAAATAAATAAATGTTTTATTACATTAATTGATTTTAATTAAGTAATGGTGTTAGTTAACTCACTTTTAACTGTTTTATTACATTAATTGATTTAGGTTAACTTATTTTTATTCGGTAAAAATATGCCTTAAATTTTAGGTTTTTGAATTTATTTAGTAATAGATAATTATTTTTAAATAAAAGTATATAAATTTTAAGGGTAAATAATTAGTACAATAATTATATTAAAAAATTAATTATACATATTATATTTTAAAAAAATTAAGTATGGTATCAATTATAATTAAATATAGATAAAATAAACCTATGTCTATATTTTCTCATGTTGATAGTAGATCATATAAATACAAGATATTGAATCTTATAAAATTTATATAGTTTTAATAAACTATTAAAAAAATAAAAAAAATACTTTAAATAATAATCTATTATTTAAAAAATCATAATTAATATTTAATTTGTGAGTAATTAATTAGAGTGATTATCCTTACTGTAATTAATAATATTTATAGTTAATTGATTAACCATATTAATTAAATGAATTAATATTTTCATGATTGGTTTTATAATGGTAGATTATTTAATAAATTAATTTCAATAAATATAAATAAATTGATTGATTATAAATTATTTCATTTAAGTAATTATATATATATATAGTTTAATACATTAAAAATCAACCTAACCTCTCGGCTTAATTGAAACATAATCTTAACTAAATGGTCAAATGTTCATATTGTCGTTTCTCGTATTTTTTAATTAAGAGTATATTTGAACGTGATCTTAAAATTACTAAAACCACTTTCATCGGGCGAGTTTTTCTTGGTTCAATTAAAAAAAAATCAAAAGATTACTATTATTTATTGGTTTAGGTTGTGTAAAAGTCCAAGTCCACAGCTTTAGCTCGTTACGGATCATCTTCAGCCTCACGGTTTGTGATCACACAATCTTCCCTCTAGGGAGGCCTAACGTCCTCGTTGGCACATCGACCAATGTCTGACTTTGATACCATTTGTAACCGTCCAAGCCTACCATTAGTAGATATTGTCTTTTTTGGCTCATTATATATTAACATCACTCTCACAGTTTTAAAAACACATCCAATTGGGAGATGTTTCCATACTCTTATAAAGAATGATTTATTATCCTCTCCAACCGATGTGGGATCGTTTATATGACTCAATGACTTGAACAATCTGTTCTACTTAACATGAATCATAAGGGTTAGATTTTGTTTTTAAAATTCATTCGAGATAGGTTGAATTTTAACTTTTTTTTCATTGGGACAACTCGACCGACCTGTATGAACATATTTAATTCAACCTAACTCACCAAAGAAGTTAAAATATTTAATTTTTACAGTAGGTTATTTTAACCGTAGGTTTTAGTGATGTGTGGGGAATATGATAATTTAATTATTAATGCAATTTATATTTTAGATATAATATGATCCATTTAAATAATTAAAATAATGTGGAAGAATTTCTATAACATGCAGCCATAATCCCCGCTAGGGAAGAATGGCGGCAAACTGAATCCTTAGCTATTTAGCTTCCACACTCATCTCTTTCCTATTTCATTTTGTTGAACCAGAGGTAGCATCTGCGAGCAATGGCGTCCTGGAATTCTACTGGAATTGATGAAGATCAGGTCTCGCTCTCTTTCTCTTCATCTCTATTTATCGTGCTTATACAGATTGGGAATTGATGAAGATCAGGTCTCGCTCTCTTTCTCTTCATCTCTATTTATCGTGCTTATACAGATTGAACAATGGCCGTTTTTCTGAAGCTATTGAAATCCATGTCGAACTCTGCTAGAATTTGTAATTTCATTAGCTTTTAAGTGATTAGAGTTTTCTCACGAAGCAGATGGATAATCCGTTATCACAGTGAAGCTCTTTTGACGTTTGTTGTTTACGTTTGTTCGTTAGCTGTAACTTTAAGTAAAGGAGGCTAGTGAAGCTCTTTTGACGTTTGTTGTTTACGTTTGTTCGTTAGCTGTAACTTTAAGTAAAGGAGGCTATAGATACTGAAATTTTTCTGAGAACTTAGAATCGTCGTACAAAATATGGTGCTTATTAGCTTAGTTGTTTTCTATCTACACGCACGATTTTAAATAGAGATGTTGATGATCATACATTTTTCAGATGTTAATTTCTTGGCAGCAGGTTTTAGTGGAAGAGAAGCGGTTTGCGAGGATATTGACTTTAAACAGACCTAAGCAGTTAAATGCTATCTCATTCACAATGGTGAGGCTTGCGATATCTCCACTTTAAGCGTAGTCTCGTGATTTATTGACGTTAATTTATCTAAGTTCGAGAAAATTGTCGGTCTATTTGTTCCTTCAGTCATGGATTAGCAATAATTGGACTATCTGGTCCTTGCTGGTTAACAAATTATATTCCATAAGCACCTAATTCTTGGGCTCAAGAACTCTGTATCTTGTTATTTACAAGCATTATGTGTCCCAATGTGAGTTTTGACAAGCCTGATGCCTCGTGGTTTAAAATTCTATCTCCAAGATTTGGGTAGAATCGACAAAGCAATGGGAGTGTTCATAACTGAGAACTAGATAAACGCTCTGTTTAGTGTTTTTCTTTTATCATTCAATCCAGGTTTCTCGGCTATTGGAACTCTTTTCTTCCTATGAGACAGATCCCTGTGTGAAACTTGTGGTTGTCAAGGTAAATCTCCATCAACAATTTTTATATATTGCTGTCATGTCCATTTTATCTTATTGTTCACCTACTGCTTCAATCGTTATCTTGTTCAAATGGAATTGTTCAATTACCTTAATGGAAAATATTGGAGGCGAAAGCATGACACTTGAAAAGGGATCCTGTCCATGCCATGTTTTAAACCTTAACTAACCATGTCACCATGAATTTTTCGGAAGACGAGTGTTATTTATTATTTATTTTTTAATTTCATACTTAGCTGTGTAAAGTTCTCATCTTATCAATTTCAATACTAAATTCAAACAAGTGGGATCTTCATATTTTATCAAAACCAAGTAATAAAATTACCCAGATCGCCCCTAAATTCAAACAAGTGGGATCTTCATATTTTATCAAAACCAAGTAATAAAATTACCCAGATCGCCCAACATTTAGCCCACATAGCATGCAAATCCAGTCACAAAAACAGTCTAAAATGAAGTTTCCCTCGTTATCATTATCCTTCACATAGCATGCAAATCCAGTCACAAAAACAGTCTAAAATGAAGTTTCCCTCGTTATCATTATCCTTGTTGGTTTTCTTTGGGTTTCTTTGCATCCCACCTTTGTAGGTAAGAATGAGAATGATGATTTGATGAATTATATTCTAGGTGATGAGTTGGTTTATTATGATAGTCCGTAGAATGATCAATTAATGCTTGATGAATTATATTCTAGGTGATGAGTTGGTTTATTATGATAGTCCGTAGAATGATCAATTAATGCTAGAAAATGCTGTTATTACACAGTATTATGAAGGCTACTGATGTAAATGACAATATCAAGGGCATGATCATTTGTTCTGTTTTCTATGAAGCATTTGGTCGCAGTTATATTTAACCGTTTCCCTCTTCTTATGATTCTCATTGTATTTACTGATAATAAATAATTTGTGAATTATTAGGGTAAAGGAAGAGCATTTTGTGCTGGGGGTGATGTATCGGCTGTGGCTCATGCCATTAAAGAGAGTAAGTTTCTCTTTACAGCACAATCCACAGCGTCAATTAATCCCGAGCACCTAATGGATGCTTGAGACAGAGGATTTTACATTTGTTTTACATGCTGGTTTAATTAATCCCGAGCACCTAATGGATGCTTGAGACAGAGGATTTTACATTTGTTTTACATGCTGGTTTTTACATGTCTGTCATCTAGTCTAGGATAGCTGTGCAGAAGTTAACTTGATAATACACAACAGCATTTATATTTAGCTAATCATAATCCTGGTTTCTGTGAGTTAGGTGAATGGAGGAAAGGTGCTCACTTCTTCCGGAAACAATACACCTTAAATTATTTGTTGGCAACTTCCAGTAAGCCACAGGTAATTTTGGTTGCTGAAGTTCTGGTCGTTTTAGTCTATAATGACTTTTACTTGATATTATGTTTAACTTCCATTGATTGCTTGAATATTTTTCAAGGTTTCTCTTCTGAATGGTATTGTCATGGGAGGAGGAGCCGGTGTTTCAATACATGGTAGATTCCGTGTTGCAACAGAGAAATCGGTATATTATCTAACTGAAGCTCTGAACTTTTGGTCCTTGAATTATTGATCTAGTGCCCACCTTTTACAGTTTAAATTTAGAAGTTTGAGTAGGTTATTCTTCACCCTCATTTTTATTTATCTTTTAAGTAGCGAAATTTGGAACTTGGATAATATCTTCAATTTTTGGCTTTCCTAAAATATTTTACTTGCTTCTTCATTGGAATAATATTTAGTAAGTAAGCTGCAAAAAGAGTGTTCTTTTTCTCTCTTTCTTTTCTAAAGAGCTGCTAATTTAGCTCTTTAAAGAATTTCGTGTTAGGGACAAAAAGTAGAGCTTTAGAAGTTTGTAGAATGCTTGGAAAAGTGGTTTTGTTGTTTTTTTTTTTTAATTGTGTAGATTTAGAAATTTAAGGATGTCGAAATATCATTCTAATCTGGTACTTATATACTGTAGGTGGAGTTTGTTTCTGTTTCTTCCATTCTTCAATCTCA